TAATAAAGGGCCGGACCAAGGGAGCGCCGACAGCAGTCTTCCTGTTCAGTCTAAAGTACCACCGTTGAATTTAATGCGACCCTTTACTGAAGCGTGGCTACTGTCACGCCCTTCTTTAAACTCTATTGCCCCCCTTTTCCCCACCTTAAAGTTTGGTACCCAAACTACGAACGGTTAACATTAGACTCCAAACAGCCATCTATTAATTTACATGTAGATGCCTCGTTTAGAGGTGAAACACGTGGCGCAGAACGTGCGTGGACGGAATTGCAGTCGGAGATTAATGGCTAATATGGAAGGTTATAGAATTTCCCGTAATAATAATAGTAGTCAAGCGGAATTAAACAAAATAATTCTCATCAAATAATCAAGGAGGAGAAGGAATTGTTAGTAATAGGGATTAGCATATTGCTAGCAATAGTAGCCCCATTGCTAGCAATATACCCTGTCAGGTCGACCTCCTCGTGGTTCCCCCAGGAAACCATCGTGATTGATTTATTGTCAGATACGTCACGGTGGGCTAACTGACCTGCTTCATCCTCACCTATCACCTCTCACTGGTACTCTGCCAGTGTATACCATTAGTGCAGGCGGGATGACCATTCCATTATCATCGATAAAAAAAACATTAACAAGGTCATTGTCTATGTCGCGTATGAATGAATGAATGGCTGAATTCTTTATTGCTCATACTGTGGTAATTACACGTCGTTTGATAGGCGATCTTGTGTACGAAACAACCAAACAAAAAAAAAACATCTAATTAAAAACTTCTCATTTTAAAATCGGTAAAAAAAGTACCAGTAAATGCTCGTGTATGAAGCAATTATTTCCTCACAACTGTGACGCCAATAAAGATAAAAAATAAATCAAAATGTAAAATCAATTACACGGTTGATTCCTTTCAATCAAAACAAAATCTTTGTTCGTAAATTTTTTACTTATTTTTAACCAATCTCCGTGATGAATACGTGTACACTCGTTGCAGTTCTTTTGATACTGTGCGTGAAATCATTTGTTAACAGTTATACTACACTACAAGTTAACAATGCTGACAAATTTAAGATATTTGAAAATATTTTGAACGAGTTTAATGACAATATAGATACAAAAATAAAACATGATAATAAATAAAATAATTCTATTAGTAAAAAAGATGTTATTAATAATTTATTAAAAGCAAAAAAGCTTTTAAAAAGTAATGACAGTAATGGTGATTATAATAAAAAACGAAAGACATTGGTTAAAAGAATAATTCCACATGGTGATCCAATGTTGAAATTTGAACATGATACGAAATATAACTCATTTTATAGACCATACATACATACATACATATCTGTCACGCCTGTCTCCCATTAGGGTAGGCAGAAACAATGGAACGCCAAATGCTTCGATTCAAACAAACCTCTTTCGCTTCTTCCACATTCATCAATCTTTTCATACACGCTCGCCGGTTACGAGTACTAGACCACTAGTCAGATTTCACAAAAACAAACCAATGCCTAAATACAGTAACGAATTAACTAAAAATTATTTTACTAATGCTAAAGAAGTACTATTTGATGGACTTAAAAATAAAAGAAGTAAAAAAATTAAAACACGTTTGATTAATAATGTAAAATTAGATGATGAATTGTTACAACCATTTCAAGTTAGCAAATAAATATAAAGAAAATAACAAGGCGAAAGAAGACTTAGTCAGAGATGTGAATCGTGTACTGAAAAAAGTTAAAGCAAAGTATTATAAAGATGAAGTTGCAGAATTAAGGTCGAAGTTTCAAGTCTGGTGAAGAAGATGAACAGTACTCGGCTGCGAAAGTTAATGATATGCATGTGAATGAAGACAAATCAACGGAACGGCCAAAACTAAAGATGCCTGTATATTCATTCTGGGATTTTTGGACAGTAGTAGTTTAGATTTTGGACTTTGCAATATTATTCCTCTCGCCTACTGAGTAATAAACGTACATTATGGTAACCCTATTCACGCGGAAGGGGACGGAATTGTTAGTAACTGTGAGTGAGAGCCCCAATGCTAGAAATATATCCCACCTGGTCGACCTCCACGTACTCTCCCCTAGAAACCATCTTGTTGAATTCCAAATATATTCATCACGATGGGCTAACGAATGGGAATGTATGAATCTAAGGGTTGTATTTTTCCATACAATTTTCAAGTATTATGTTTCGTACAAGCCTTGTCCTGACACCATCATCTTCCTACCCTTATCCCAATCATTTGGGGTCGGCGTAATATAATTTTATCCATATTACAAAAAGATTTGATTTTTTTTACGACCGGCCACCTGCCTGACGTCAACCCTCTTTGGGAATGCATTTGTTGGTGGTTTCCGCCACCTACGGTATGGAGGAAAGGATTGAGGAAAAAAGAAAGGGAACGTTGGAAAAGCGTAAAGTAAATTGGTGAATGAGGGGAATAAGGGACTTATACGGGAAAGGAAAGGGGGGGGGGGACACTGCAGTTGCGGAAAGGACTGGGACACTCTAGCGGCTCGGGAGGCCGGGGTCGCATACCTGTATGCCCTTATTCTAGAGTCGGACAGATTTCTAGAGAAGAACACCCCTGACCCCTTGTCCTGACACAAAAACACAAAAAAGAATTAGCCAAATAGAACATCTATTCTGAAGTGTTCCGAAGTGATACGCTTATATACATTGATATTTATTTATTTTCCGTTCCAGTACAACAAATCAATCTATCAAGACCAGTGTAAAGGCAATCTAATCAAATATGGCAACCTCTGCCTTGAAGTACCGCCACACTAAACAAAGTTTACACCGTTTTTATTAAAAAATCCATATTTTTTATTAATAAAATTTAACATATGACTGCGTAAACTCAAGAGCAAGTTATCACTACGTTACAGCACTGATTTAAAACTACTTTACCACAAACTGAACTAAAGAGAGGTGGCTATTGTAGTCGATTATTTTTTTTATAAATGGCAACCCCGCCTACGTTATCGGTACCAAGCTATAATCAAGTATATAATAAGTATGTTATACTAAGTCTATGAAGAAGAAAAATACAAATGAAGCTATCAAGAGAATCGTTTTGATCAGCACTCATATGAGAAAGAACAAGAGAGCACACTTTTTTTGTTTTTTTTTTTTATGAAACTTAGAATGGCAAACAAGCTGACGGCCCACCTGATGGAAAGCGGTAACCGTCGCCTATAGACATGAGCAGTACCATGGACATAACAGAGTATACTGTTCCACCCAGGATACCCCCCGTGCGTTGCCATTCCTGAGGACTCAGGTGTTACTTCTCTGTATCCTGTAAAATCACTGCCATATCCTACCCTTCAAATTGAAACAGCCATGCAAACACAACTGCTTCATGATAGAAACACGAATGGGTGCCCAAGCAATGGACTTTTGTACAAAGTCGTACTCTGGTGGACACGTCATCTCATTCTATCTCATGGACTCGCTAGCGGTAACAGGTTAATAGATTTTTTTTTACTGGATGAAAATGGAGTGGTAACCCCGTCAGCGCTAACGGGATACGCTGGCGGAGCACCAGTGAAGGGTGATAGATGAGAATGAAAACAGGCCAGTTAGCCCATCATGATGAATTCATCAGGAATTAATTGTTTCATTTCGTACAGGTAAGTATTTTTAATGCATGATAATGGAATAGTAACAACCTCTGGGTAGAGGACATTGAGAAAAATGATATGCCGCCCTTCAAACCGAAACACAGCTATGTAAGCACACTTATAGCACAAACATGAGTGGGACAAACGTACCCAAACAAATAACTTCTGTATAAAGTGTCCCACTAGTTTAATATTTATCTTACATAATTATAGCAGTATTTTTTTTAATAATTGGATAATAATAGAATAACAACACCGCCTGCACAAACGATATACGCTGGCAGGACACCAGGCAGAATAGGTCAGAATGAAAAGGCAGGTCAGTTAACCCATCGCATTGACACCTGGGACTCAGCACATAGGTAGATGGGGGGGGGGGGCGTCACGTGGAAGTCAACCTGACAGGGTATATTGCTAGCAATGGGACAACAATCCCTTCCTCACCCCGACAGGTTGATGAGCACATCGTGATGAATTCACCGAGTGTTAACCACGTGATCTTCATGAGGGACCGCGTGGTCATCATGATTGAAATGGATATTGCTAGATATGAGAGCTGCTAATATCCCTGTTCTGATTATTCCCTCCCCCTCTTTTCCTTCCATCACTTACCATATTATTTATTTATTCATTAGTACAAATATGTGTACATGACGGACCTAATGCTAAAAGCATTCTCTCCCAGTCAACCATAGGGAAGTGTCAGAATACTCGGATGCGGTACTACTAATTATTGATATACATACATACTAAAATTACATATATAAACGAATAAATATATATGAATAACAAATATACTTACACATATATGATATATACTATATTATACACAAAATTGAGAATAATATAAAGCACTTACTGCTCGGATAAAGATAAAAAGTGAGCATGAACGTTTTTTTTTTAAAGACGGTTTAGTCGGTAGTCTCTTAATGGCATCAGGAAGCGCGTTCCAGAGTCGCGAAGAATGTAGGAGAAAAGAGATTGAAGCGTAACCACTACGGTGAGAGGAGAAAGATATAATAGGTGGAGAGTATTATTGGAAATTATTGTATAATTAAATAACCACAAGAGCTAAATGTAATTTTAGCTCTTCAGGTTAAATTTTTTCCCACGGGAAAATAGACAATCATCATATCAGGCTTTAACTGTCCACTGCTGAACATAAGCTTCCCCCTTGGGGGGTTTTGCCAGTAGTCGCTTAGCAGATGGATTGACAACAGCAGTTGGGCTTTAGAAATGTTTTAAGAGGGACGCTGCTGTCCATCCCTCGCCCTCCCTTAGTTGACTCTTACGTAGTTTACGGTGTAGGAAGGGCTGGCCTATTCTATGTCGGAACCACACGGCCGTAAGTAGACAATAAATTAAACAAAATTTTACTAAACAAATTTATTTTTCTCTTACAAACTTTTCAACTATTTAAAATACAAATATGTAAGCCGGGGAATGTTTTACAAATGACACAGCCGTGACTTAAACTAACAAATGAGATTGCTTTGCCATGGTACATTCTTAATATCTAAAAACATCTAATCTTCTTGAATTAACTAATTAGTTGTGAACGTATCTGAATATTTACTTATAAAATGCGCGGGAATGTCTATTTTAATAAAAAAAAAATAAGTACAATGAAACACTAAAAAGTTACACATTAACCTCTAACCAGCCAGTAATATTTTTTGAAAAAGTAAAATAATACAATTCGATTTTTAATTTTGTTAAATTAAGAATAGTATCTGCTGTCTTAATTCTACGTTTTTTTTTTTTTTATATTGAGTAAAAACTTTTTATGTGGACTTGACATTTATCAAAATGTTAGCAGTGGCATAGATAAATAACTCTATAAATCGCAGAGTTCATTATCTAAGTGCGATAGCGATTTTTATTAATTTTCAATTTGTCCTGCAAAAAATTTACTTTTATAAATTAGAATCACGCCATTATGACTTTATATTATACTTTACTTATATATATATATATATATATATATATATATATACATATATATATATACATATATATATATATATACCGATACTAAATGTCATGGTTTTCATTTAATGAGTATATGAGTATTATTTGTCATCAAATAGACACAAATTTCCATTAATAAAAAACGCGCGTATTAATTTCTTTTATAGTATAAAACTAAAAGGCGAAAACGAAATCGTTAGCGTAATTTTTATAGATTATTCTTTTTAAAAAAACACTAAGGACAAAAGAGCATACAGCTCACTTAATGGTAAGTGAATACCGCCGTTCATAAGCACCCACAATACCGGGAGAATTACAAGTATGCTGGCTTTTTAAAAAGGAAACAGCTCTTGCCTTGAAGGTGATGTATTTCTACCAGCGAAATTAAACTTTAACCCAAAGTAACAAAAGTCGACATCGAGTCGCTAACAATTCGATTTCACCTTAAATATCCTTTCAACTGTGTCATGCAAGATGGTGGAAAATCCACATCTGTGGCGTCCTGTAAGCGGACTTTACACAGACTAGGTATTTTTAGCGTATAGGTTTAAAAAACTTGATTTTTCCGAAATCTAATTGGAATTATACAAAATTCAGATTAGATTTATATTCCAACTAGATTCCTTATGTAATTTCTTACATTACACTAGACTTAAATTGCATCGCAACTGTTCTATGAGAAATAAAATGGGGTCACCTATAAATTACTTTTTATTTTTCAATTATTAAAAAACTAAGACCTTGCTGGGTGTAAAATTATATATTTTTTGTACAATATTATATACTTGATAGAATAAAAATAAAATGTCCTATATTCCAATACATTTTTTTTTATACAGCACTTGTTTATAAACATGGACCAAAAAGTCCCTCTTCAATTGACACTTAAGTGGGCCTCCTATTTCATTACTTTACGTACATTCTTGGCGTCAGGGACAAGAGGTGGTTTGTTTACAATCATTTAAGCTTATCGCCAATCTAGTTTAGACAAAACAGTATATATGACATTATTATCTCTATATGTCCGTTCAGCGGACGCGACACAGTTGAGAGGATATAAAATAGAAAAAAAAAATAGAAACCCTTATTAATAATAAAATCTTTTTTTTTTTTTAATTGTCTCTTACTCTTACCAATTTTTCCTTCGCGCCACCCATAAGCTTACATAAGCACATATGTGGGCGCTGTCTCCACACCACAATTGTTGTCCTTACTAGACATCAGAATGTACCCATCGTTACCCCATAAGTTGGACCACGAGTTCTTAACCAGCCAGTACTTTTGGCCTTTCAGTATGCCAAACCCAACGGCCAGGACCGCATGGTCGAGCTCGTCGATCTTGTTTTTGCTGTAATAAAAAGACTTTCTTGAAAACAGTCGCAGTGTTCAACCGACTTTAAAAAGGAGGAGGTTCTATTTTTTTGTATTTCGGTTGTATTTTTTTTTATGTTTGCTACCTCATAACTCCAACCAAGTTAACCTTTGATTAAACCATTAAAGCACCAAGAAGTAACAATAATTATTAAGTAAACTAGTTTTAAACCGCGACTTCGTTCGCGCGACCACGATTAGTTAATTACCCGGGATAGTACAGCGGTAGTAGCCCATGTTCTTTTCTATCCTAAAGAGTACATGTGCATGGCGCCAGTGAGAGATGACAGGTGAGGATGAAAGCAGGTCAGTTAGCCTATTATTCCAAATTCCAGAAGAATTAACCAAGGTGGTTTCCAGGGGGAACCGCGCAAGAGTCTACCTGATAGGCTATATTGATGTCAATGGATTTTAGAATACTAATTTTTTTATACAACTTAGAATGGCAAACAAGCTGACGGCCCACCTGATGGAAAGTGGTTACCGTCGCCTATAGACATGAGCAGTACCATGGACACAACAGAGTATACTGTTTCGCCCATGATACCCCCCATGCGTTGCCATTCCTGAGGACTCAGGTGTTATGCCTCTGTATCCTGTAATTTCATTGCCACATCTCACCCTTCATACCGAAACACAACCATGCAAATGTAACTGCTTACTTAGTTAATTCATTAGCATGGCAAATAAGGGGGAAAGGGATTGTTAGTAATGCGTACTACGTAGTCCCATTGCTAGCAATATACCCTGTCAGGTCGACTTCCACGTGGTCCCCGCTAGAAACCATCGTGTTGAATTCCAGGTGTATTCACACGATTGACTAACAGACCTGCCTTTTCATTCTCATCTATCATCCCTCATTGGAGCTCCGCCAGCGTATACCGTTAGCGCAGGCGGGGTTATCCCTCCATTGTCATCCATTAAAAAAAAAAGTAAAGCAAACAAGCTGACGGCCCACCTGATGGAAAGTGGTAACTGTCGCCGCTCCCCCCCCCCCTCCCTCCCACTCCTTTCCAGTACAGATATTACAAAAATTATACGATCACTCACCAGGCCGGGTCGTAGTACACTCCGTTCGAATAGAAGCTGAAGGTCTTGCGGGAGGCGTCGATTGCCACGGACACGGGGCCGTGTTTGAAGATCGCCAACTAAAAATTATATCCCAATTATTATTTGGGGTCGACGTTATATGGTTTCATCCATATTACAAAAAGATTTGGCTTATAGGTTTACAACCGACCAACTATGTATGTATGTGCATATAACTATGCTGTCACAGATGTTATTTTTTAAAGATCTATTTCTTCTAACGCGCCACCTACCTACTTATGCTTTAATTCCTTCTACCCAAAGGTTGTCTGGAAGAGATTGCTTAGCAATAAGACCGCCTTTTGTACTACACTATACGTATTGAAAATTGTTCAACAAATCCTGTTATGTTGGTGCAATAAAGTGTTAAATAAATAAAAATAAAATAAAAAAAAATATATAATTTATTTATTTAACTCTTTATTGCACTAGAAACATACAATAAATAAACATACAAAATATACAATGACAATTGAAATTCAAGTGAAATACAGTAACATAAATACAGATTAAAATATACAACGTAAAGGTACAAAAGGCGGTGTTATCGCTAGGGCGATCTCTTACAGACAATCTTTGGTAAAAGGAGAACAGATAGAAGTGGGTAGGTGGTGCAAGAGTAAATTAATATTATATATATATATATATATATATATATATATATATATATATATATATATATATATATATATATATATATATATATATATATATATATATATATATATATATATATATATATATATATATACATAGTACACACGAAGAAATATGACGAATCCAGTCAAAAAATTACAGAGGAATGGAAAAAAGTACGAATGAATGAGTATACTTTATTCGCATTATACAATATAGGAAATAAGCAAGACAATTTACAAACACAACGATACAATTGTATAAGTACAGTGAGGCGGTCTTATTGCGGTCTTATTACTACAGTAAAAAATAATATAAAAAAATTAAAATAACAAAATTTCAATTAGAATTTAATCAAATTGATGAAATTGAATTATTTAATTATTGAAATCTTTATGAAAATTTAAAAAACGACGCCCTCCTCGCCTCTAATTGCTGTGCCCGACAGTGTCTACGATATACTTAATTAATTATAAACATCTTTCATAATAATATTGTAGAATGCAATAAATAAATTGAATTGAATTGAAAATGTGATTCGACTTGTCCCTAAATAATGTGTCAATACAACTTAATGATAATGTAAACAAACAAATAAAATGAGTCCACCAAAACACTGTCTACTAATGTTCAAAAGGCCCTTTTTTATACAACTTAGAATGGCAAACAAGCTGACGGCCCACCTGATGTAAAGTGGTAACCGTCTCCTATAGACATGAGCAGTACCATGGACATAACAGAGTATACTGTTTCGCCCATGATACTCCCCATGCGTTGCCATTCCTGAGGACTCATTTTGTGTGACTCATGTGACTGCCCATGTTCAGCAGTTGACAGATGACGGCTGGTGTTATGTTGATGATGAAACTTACCCTGAGTGAGTTCTCATTGTTGGTGGTAACGTTCACCCATCCCTTCATCGAGGTCACCAGCGTCACGTTGTCCACATGGCAGTAACCGTCCTGTGGAGGCAAATTTTATTAACAGCTTGAAATTACAAAATATTTTAAATTAAAAACAAATTCTTTAATACTCTGGGTCGTATCAATAGAACAAATAGTCGTAGAATCGTGCGACTCACACAGTAGCATAAATGAAAGAAAAAAAAACTAAATATAACAATATAATAAAAAACAAAAAACGTGTGCATGTGTGCGTCGCCCTGTTCTGTGAAATAGGCTTTTTTTTATACAACTTAGAATGGCAAACAAGCTGTCGGCCCACCTGATGGAAAGTGGTAACCGTCACCTATAGACATGAGCAGTACCATGGACATAACAGAGAATACTGTTTCGCCCATTTGTTGCCATTCCTGAGGACTCAGGTGTTATTCCACTCTGTAACCAGTAAATTCACGCCATATCCCACCCTTCAAACCGAAACACAGCCATGCAAACACAACTGCTTCACGGTTGAAACACGAATGGGACAGAGGTACCTGAGCAATCGACTTTTGTACAAAGTCTCCCTCTGGTCTGCATACCATACATAGGTCATACATAGGTTAGTTAGTAGATCCCTGATGAACTGACCTGTCCCAAGTATCCACCGTAGTCCTCCTCGGTGGGCAGACCGTGCTTCATGATCCACTGGTACGCTCGGAAGTCTTCGCCGCCGTCACAGCCGTTGTTGCCGAAACTGAAAATTTAAAGCATTTATTTTATACCTACACGCCATCATCATCATCGTTTCATAATAATAATCATCATTGTTATTTCAATCGTTTATAAAATGGCCGCTGCAACAAAATGGTGGAATCATGGGTGAAACAGTACACTCTGTTATGTCCATGGTACTGCTCGTGTCTATAGGCGACGGTTACCACTTTCCATCAGGTGGGCCCGTCAGCTTGTTTGCCATTCTAAGTTGTATAAAAAAATCTATTATAAAAACTTATTTAGAACTTCAAAAAGGCTTTAGTTAATATATATTTAGGTATTATTCGAAGTTGAATTAAATAAAAAACAAACCCCCAAGAGCAGTCAACGAGCGCCTGTTGACTGAGCCTGACGAGGTGTCCGCCGTTATGCAGGAACAGGGCGCCCTCTACAGCCCCCACGGTGCCGAAGGACCAGCAAGAACCGCACACGGACTGGTCTGCAGTAACCACAATAAATAAAAAACAATTATTTTGGTTTAAAAACTAGAGGGAGACTTTGTACAAAAGTCGATTGCTTGAGCACCTCTGTCCCATTCGTGTTTCAACCGTGAAGCAGTTGTGTTTGCATGACTATGTTTCGGTTTGAAGGGTGGGATATTGCGTGAATTTACAGGGTACAAAGGAATAACACCCGAGTCCTCAGGAATGGTAACGCATGGGGGGTATCATGGGCGAAACAGTATACTCTGTTATGTCGATGGTACTGCTCATGTCTATAGGCGACGGTTACCACTTTCCATCAGGTGGGCCGTCAGCTTGTTTGCCATTCTAAGTTGTATAAAAAAAAAATACACAAAAATTTTTTCAAGCCTGTTTACAAGTAACGGAATTATGAGGTGACAAACATAAAAAAGAAATACAAAAGAATTGAGAAATCCTTTTTTGAAGGCGGTAAAATACCAAGGCTTTTGTTTCATATAAGCATATGTAGATAGTACTAGCAATCTAGCCCGCCTAACAAGTGGGACAGGTCGCTGCTGGTAACAGCAGATAAGCTGACCCTGGCTATACCGGAATTAAAGTAAGATCGAAAAAAAAAAAGAAGAAAAGTCTAGGAAACGGTATTTCAGAATTAAACCCATTGTAAATTTCAATAGATTCTCTTTTAAAAATCGGTAATTTTTAAAATCGGTATTTTTAATAATCGGTATTTTACAAATCGGTAATTTTAAAAATGGATAAATATTATATATACTTTGTGTGTTGCGTGAATGTGGTGTACAAAGAAACAAAATGTCATGTGGTGTAAAAAAAAAGTGTATTGTGCGCGTATTATTTTGTATACAGCAGGGATTCCCAAACTTATTTTGTCTACTGCCCACTTTGAGAATAAATTCTTTTTTAGCTACCAAATACCACTATTACTTCAACAAATCACCCCCCAAGCCTCTATACAATGCCCCCATTTTTTTTCTGGGTCTCTTACCGGCCCCTCTTTAGGCCTGCAGCGCCCACAAGGGAGCGTTAGGAAAACTTTAGGAAAGGCTGGTATAACCCTTCTTTGCATGATTTTTTTTTATTGATGAAATAAATCAAGGTGATATAATTCATGTTCAAAATTAAAGAAAAATGTTTAAAAAAATAAATTTGACAGCTATGGTTTTTTTTCTGCAATGGACATTAAAAAAGTATCCAGACACGATCAACTTAAAGTGAAATTGTTTTTTTATATAATTTTGGGCATTCAATGTTATGTTGGAAATTTCCATCAGTATGCAAAGAAGGGATAAAGGAAGGGTTACATGCAGCTAATTTCATAAAGACAACTTTTTTTTCTGTAAAAAACCTCAAAAATACACACCTTTTACCGGTGTAACAGCACCAAAGAGCCTCCAATCGAACTCCGACGGCAGTTTATCACCCATTTCCTCCACAACAGCTTCGGTGTATGGGAACGGAAGACCTATAGACACAAATATTTATTTATTTATTTATTTAATACAAAAATCCACAATGCTTAAAAAATAACCTACATGCTAAGTCTCTTATAAATACAGCCAAAAACGGATTTTAATTATGTAAAGGATAATTAAAACCCGTGTTTTTTCTCTTTTTAGGGCAAAGCAAAAAGCTGAGTTGTGGCCATTTTGTATTACAGTGGCACACGCATGAAGAAAAAAAAATTGTTACTAATTTTATGCATTCTGATTTTGTTTTTGATTTTTTTTTTTATCTTTTTTACATATACCTTTTTTTATCTTTTTTCGCTTTGCATTTGTGTCTTTTGCTGTTTGTGTGCTGTAAGTGATGCAAATAAATCTATCTATCTATCTTAAAATTCTAAAGCAAGGTAGGCAAGTTTTTTTTAATTGGTAAAAAAGGAATGGTAACCCCACCCGCGCTATCGGTATACACCGATCCGGTGCATCAGTGAGAGATGATAGGTGAAAATGAATACAGCTGGCCCACCATAATGAATTCGACAAGAATTAACCATGATAGTTTTCCAAGGGAGATTTCTTTGTGGTATAAAAAACAACATTCGACACAAATGTAGGACAGTTTCTTTCTAAAAAAAAATATAGCTCGTCATTTTAATACTATTTTTACGCGAGCAAAACCGTAGTAAGCTGCTAGTTAATACATATTTATATTGTACAAAATAGATAACTTCAAGTCGTACCAGGGTTGGGTCCACTGTACCGGCGGCCCCGCAGCGCTGCTATCTCATCATCAGTGCGGTCGGCGAGGTGGTTCACCGCCAAGGTGAAGCCGAGCCGAGCGCGGTTACTCGAGTGCACGAATCTATTATAATTGGGAAAAAGTTTTATCATTTTCGTCACAGCAACTGAATTGTATATGAAAATGTACAATAACTCCATAACACTGGTTATTTCACACACATACTAATGTTAGCGGAATTAAACAAAATAATTCTAAACAACTAACAAATTACAATAATCTATAATAAGTGAATGTACAAAAGCGTATAAATAAATAAACATATGAAAAAAATAAAAAATATTGTTTGATTGAAGAGATTTCGAAGCGTATAAGGGGTTTGAACCTACCCCATACCGGGGCAAGTTTTCTCGCCTGTTGTTCCACCATTTTATTTTAACACATTTCTAAAGTAATTCAAAATGGCCGCCATTTTGTCTATTACACATATATGTGTTGCTTATAAATAAGAAACACATTCATATGTATATTCATATAATATAAAAAAAAGTAATTACATTAATTAATTACTTGCAACACTGAAAAAAAAAAACGCATTTTGTGTTAATTAAAAAAAAAAGTTTTTAACACACAATGCTCTATCTATATTATTATTTTAGATTATATAAGTAAACCTAAAAACAAGGAATTACATAGAACGAGAGATAAAATTGTCAATTCATAGCAGGCTAGTGTACAGAAAATGTTATACGTCCGTATAACCCTACCAAATTCAGATACAACCTGCTTGCATACTCTCTACATAAACTGTGTCGAATATATAATCTAGTAATGTAAAATTTGTCATTGACAAATAATTGACAGATCAAACATTTTCTATACACTAGCCTGCTATGAATTGAGAAAAATAGCAACTGACGGTGTATCTTTCGTCCTCTTTTTACTAATTATATTTGCATAAGAAGAAAGGAGGCAACCATATGATTTACAGTTTTTATTTTAGGATTCCTTCTATGTAATCCCTCGTTCTTGGAAGTAAACACATTAAATTTACCTGAGATTCTGTCTGAAGTTATTCAAACGTTTTTCATGTTCCACACTGTCTTCATATTGCCTGTCGTGTTTTGATTTAAATCTGAAATAAAAAAAAAGTATATAGTACAAGGAACAAAGGAGCATAAGCTCGCTTGATGTTAAAAGACTATCACCTGTAATGATCTATAATACAGAAGAAAATTATTGATTGGTTTTTTTTTAACATACTATTATAATTTTGTTATTATTAGTTGAATAAATAGTTGACGTAATGTTAAGACACTTATATGTATGCATTAAATGTAATGTATCTTGTACCCAATAATAATTTTGCACGCTTTAGACTATAAGGCGAACATTTGTACTCCACAATGGATTAATATATGTAAAAAACAACGTTCTGACAAATAAACAAATCAACAAAATACTGCCTAACGCTACTTATATACTGTAGAATCTATGTAGTTTAGATAGTTAGCAATTGTTTACAACTGTTATAAAAAAAAATATAAATAAAATAAAAAAAATAAAAAATATTAAAAAATGGACTCGAAGCGATCTTAACCCTCTTGCTCCGGGTCATTTAAATGCAATGCTACGAGTAGATATAGGTGCCAAATTAAAAAAAAAAAGTAAGGTCGCGTACTGCGCGGTTTCAGAGATGTTTCCTCCCACGAACACTCAGGTTGTGGAATGAGCTCCCTGCCGAGATTTTCCCAAGAGACTACCGCACGGGGTTCTTCAAAAGGGGGGTAAAGAGGTTTCTTCAGGGTCGGCAACGCGCGCGTAATACCTTTAGTATTGCAAGTGTTCATAGGCTACGGTAACCGCTTGCCATCGGGTGGGCCGTATGCTTGTTTGCCACCTCAGTGGTATAAAAAAAAAACAGTAAACCCTGTGATTGAATATCAGTGTAATAGTTAAATTAATTGAACTAATAATCCACATACATACCTCTCGAATTCATCATGAACGTGGCCATCGTGGATTGGGTGGACGAACTCTTTCATGGGGTTGAATGTGGCATAGTGGCGGGAGCCGGGGCCGGGGAACGACGTGCATTGATAATCTGTAGAGGAATTGAATGATGAACGAGCATTACTGAATGAAATGAACGAACGACTTACTCAGTGTATTCCTACATAGCGCGAGTGACAGCTTCCTATAGCCATACAAAAAAATTTGGCCACGTACAAATTTTGAAAATTTTTACAAATTATAATTGTAAAAATTTTCAAAAAAAAGAATGTTTTGACATCTCTGTATTTCGGTTTGAAGGGTGGGATATGGCAGTGAATTTACAGGGTACAGAGAAATAACATCTGAGTCCTCAAGAATGGCAACGCATGGGGGTTATCATGGGCGAAACCGTATACTCTGTTGTGTCCATGGTACTGCTCATGTCTATAGGCGACGGTTACCACTTTCCATCAGGTGGGCCGTCAGCTTGTTTGTTGCTTTATCAGGGGATCCGCGTAGAGGAGAACTGATCGGGGTGAATTGCTAGCAATGGATCAAGTAGACCTCATTACTAAGAATCCTCACCCCCCCCCCTTTTTATTAATTGTTTTGCTTATTTCCTATATTCATCACCTTCTTCCTACCCTTATCCCAATTATTATTTGGGGTCGGCGTAATATGATTATATCCATATTACAAAAAGATTTGGCTTATAGATTTACAACCGGTTTAAACCGCCTGCCTGACGTCAACCCTCTTTGGTATATTTTTTTTTAATGGATGATAATGGAATAGTAAACCCACCCGCGCTATCGGTATACACCGGCGGGGCACCAGTGAAGGATGATAGGTGAGGATGAAGCAGGTCAGTTAGCCCATCGTGACGAATTCAACAAGAATTGTTCACGATGGTCGATCTAATAAGGCATATTGCTAGCAATGGGGCTGTCAAACTCCATTGCTAACAATCCCTTTCCCTACTCTTTGGTGTATTTGGTAATATTTGGTTTATTCCCTATATTGTATAATGCAAAAATTCCTACTTACCGGAGCCAACAACAAACACAGTGGGGTCAATGTCATCCACGTCGTACTCGTTGTAGCTGATGTAGTAATGGTCGTAATGCGAGCCCAGCAGCGAGTTGAAACCCTTCATCTCATACCTGCAGGATTAAATTAATATATATGTATGTGTATATATATATATATATATATATATATATATATATATATATATATATATATATATATATATATATATATATATATATGACGGCCTGACGGCCCACCTGATGGAAAGTGGTAACAGTCGTTTAAGACATGAGCAGTACCATGATTAAAAATGAACCAAACCAAATCGGTTTTTTTTAATTTTGAATTGGTAACCATTTTAAATTTTAAAATTAAAATATGTATCTATCATATCATCATATCAGCCGTTAACTATTCACTGCTAAACATAGGCCTTCCCCAATTGAGGAGTTTTGCCAGTAGTTGCCACACTTGGCAAGCGGGATGGGAACCGCATTTAGGCTTATTATTATTTGATGATATTTTAAGAGGGACGCTGCTGCCAATCCCTTAACCATTAATTCCCCTATATTATGGTAACCCTATTCACGCACACATGGATAAAAAAAAGGTCACCTGTTTTAACCGACATCAAAAGGGGGGAAAGGAATTGTTAGTAATGGAGACTAAAAAACCCATTGCTAGCAATATACCCAACCAGGTCGACCTCCACGCGGTTCCCCCTGGAAACTATCATGGTTAATTCCTGATGAATTCATCATGATGGGCTAACTGGCCTGTTTTCATTCTCATCTATCACCCTTCACTAGTGCTCCGCCAGCGTATCCTGTTAGCGCAGGCGGGGTTACCATACCATTTTCACCCATCAAATAAAAACCGACATCAAAAAGGAGGAGGTTTTATATACAACTTTATTTTTTTTATTGGACTACCTATATAAAATACGTACCTGACCGGTATAGCGATGGGGTCACCCCTGAGTGCCTTCCTGTATTTCACCCACATGGTGTACTTATTGATCTTGTCCCCTACAGTCTTCACCATACGCCATTTGAAAGTCTCCGAATCCTCCATAACTTCTGATCCTGTTATTTCATTAAAAATATAAATCAGTAACTGAAGTGTTATGTTTTTATTAGAGATGAAACGGATATCCGGTAACTATCCGGTATCCGGACAATCTGGCGGCCTTAATACTATCCCGCCAAATTTAAAAAAAAAAAGTTGATAAAAAAAATATATTTTTAAGTAATTATTTGCTTTATTTATTTAGTCTTAGTACTTAAGAAATATAATTAGTTTTAGTTTTAAATTTTTATTCACACAATAGTGAATAAAAGTAATAGAAAAAAAATAGTTAATTACTACTCATTGGAGGGGGAAAGGGATTGTTAGTAATGGAGACTGAAAATCCCATTGCTAGCAATATACCCAATCAGGTCGACTTCCTTGTGATTCCCACTGGAAACTATCATGGTTAATTCCTGATGAATTCATCATGATGGGCTAACTGGCCTGTTTTCATTCTCATCGATCACCCTCCACTGGTGCTCCGCCAGCGTATACACTGGCGATGCACCACTGAGAGATGATCAGTGAAAATGAAAAAGTAGGTCAGTTAGCCCATCATGACGAATTCAACAATAAATTAATCACAATAGTTTCCTGGGGGAACCGCGTGGAGGTCAACCTGATAGGGTGTATTGATAACGATGGGGACTAGCCTCCCCTAACATTATTATTAACTCCCCTAATAATACTAACAATCCCTTCCTCCCGCCTAATGGGCAGTGGTGGTCGGTTGCCATAAGGCGGGCCGTATGCTTGATTAGAAAAAAATACTCACCAACATAGCTGAAGTCCGTCATATCGGGCAGCACTGTTTGGATGGTTATCTCTTCGTTTTTAGTGCCGTTCACCTGCAGGCATGTTTCCTTGTTCAGCTCCTTCTCAGTCGTCACCGGCGCCAGCTGCAATGAAACACGCGAGTGATGGAGTGATGGCATCCATTTTTAACCGACTGCGACCGAAAAGGAGGTCGTGAAAACAGCGATAAACGACGAGATGTCTCGTGGATGTCCTACGTCGAGTTGCATCGTAGACACCCTATTATATAATATCATATTTACCAGAGGGAGACTTTGTACAAAAGTCGATTGCTTGTGTACCTCTGTCCCATTCGTGTTTCAACCGTGAAGCAGTTGTGTTTGCATGGCTGTGTTTCGGTTTGAAGGGTGGGATATGGCGTGAATTTACTGGGTACAGAGGAATAACACTTGAGTCCTCAGGAATGGCAACGCATGGGGGGTATCATGTCTATAGGCGACGATTACCACTTTCCATCAGGTGGACCGTCAGTTTGTTTTCCATTCTAAGTTGTATAAAAAAAAAATAGAATATGTCAAAATGCAATAACACATTTTCAACCGACTTAAAAAAGAACGAGAATATATAATAATATTATTATTATTATCCAAGAAAATTGATGTCGGTATTCTTCTGTAGAACGCAACTCATCCCTGTTTTTTTTTTCAATAGACAATGGAATGATAATTCCGCCTGCGCGGGGGGAGGAGGGGATTGTTAGTAATGGAGACTGAGAATTCCATTGCTAGAAATAAACTGGAAACTATCATGGTTAATTCCTGATGAATTCATCATGATGGGCTAACTGGCCTGTTTTCATCCTCATCGATCACCCTTCACTGGTGCTCCGCCAGCGTATTCCGTTAGCGCAGGCGGGGTTACCATACCTTTTAAACCCATCAAAAAAAAAGGCAGCAACAGCAATATACCCTGTCAAGTCGTGATCCCCCATGGAAACCATCGTGCCAAATTCCAGGTGTGTTCATCACGATGGGCCAACTGACCTATCTTTTCATTCTCACCTATCATCATTCACTGGTGCTTTACCAGCGTATACCGTAAGCACAGGCGGGGCTACCATTCCATTGTCATTCATTATAAAAAAAAACCTGACCTATGATCCACAATAAAGACATTTGTCTGCCTTTTAAGATAGGTCATTGACCCTCAATACCCCCACCCTAGCTACAGCCATGAGATGACTCGTTAATGTAAACATAAACGGCTCCTAAATTATGTAGGCATGCCGGAATGAGTAATTCCACATTATTTGCAACCATTGTTAATGTAACAGCTTAATTAACAATGACTAACTACCTATTGTGTTGATTTTATCATTTCAAAATGTTTAAACAGCAATTCATCTATGATGTACAAAAGTCGATTGCTTGGGTACCTCTGTCCCATTCATGTTTCAAACGTGAAGCAGTTGTGTTTGCATAGCTGTGTTTCGGTTTGAAGGGTGGGATATGGCGTGAATTTACTGTGTACAGAGGAATAACACCTGAGTCCTCAGGAATGGCAACGCATGGGGGGTATCATGGGCGAAACAGTATACTCTGTTATGTCCATGTTACTGCTCGTGTCTATAGGTGACGGTTACCACTTTCCATCAGGTGCGCCGTCAGCTTGTTTGCCATTCTAAGTTGTATAAAAAAAGAAAAGATGTATCATTAAAGAATGTGTTCCACAAAGAAAACTGACTTTCATTGTGGCAAAGCCTGTTATTTTGGTTTAAAACTAAATTACTGGACTGATTTTGATAAAATTTCCATAGAACCAATCTGTTATTTGTCTGTAAGAGATTGCTCTAGCCTTTTGTACCTTTATATGTATATTTTAACTTGTACTCCATGCTACTGTATTTCACTTGAATTGTTTAATTGTCATTGTATATTTTTATGTTTTTTATGCAGTAAAGAGTTATATAAATAATCTTCTATACTTATAATAAATCTGTAGAGAGGTCAATTCTGTACATGAAATATATTTCCATAATAACTATCAGCGGGTGATTAGTGATCGATACTGATGCCAAAAGTGCAATCAGTAAAATTTTTGTCTGTCTGTCTGCCTGTCTTTATGTTCGTTACAGAAACAAAAACTACTCGACAGATTTTAAACGAAACTTGGTACAATTATTCTTCATACTCCTGGGCAGGTTATAGTATACTTTTCATCACGCTACGATCAATAGGAGCAGAGCAGTGAAGGGAAATGTTGGGAAAACGGGAGAAGTTATTCCATTTTTAAGCTTCCGTCGCGTGTGCAACCTTAATGGCCACTTTTTAAATGTAAAAATGTCCACCCGTGCGAAGCCGGGACGGACAGCTAGTTAAGTATAATGACGAAGTTATGAGATAACGAATACAAGCTATTTGTCCTTGTAACAACAAGGACCCGGGCAACACTTATAAAACAACACATAACATAACCCAAGACCGAGTGGAGGGATTTATTTATACAACTTAGAACGTCAAACAAGCTGACGGCCCCCCTGATGGAAAGTGGTAACCGTCGCCTATAGACATGAGCAGTAACATGGACATAACAGAGTATACTGTTTCACCCATAATACCCCCCTTGCGTTGCCAACCCTGAGGACTCATGTGTTATTCCTGTGTACCCTGTAGATTGTTAGTAATGTGGTCTAACCGCCCCATGCTATCAATATACCTTGTCGGGTCGACCTCCACACGATCCCCCTCCCCCAGTCACCCGGAAAGCATAGTGGTTAATTCTTGTTAAGTTCATCACGATGCGCCAACTGACCTACCCTCATTCCATTATCATCCATTAAGAAAACAAAAAATCCCAGACCCGAGTGAATTCAGAAATGTTCGTTTACTATATTGGCCCAATTGGGACTCGAACCCGGCACCTCATTTACGCGAAGATGGGACACCGCAACTAATATTGTACTCTCTTACCTTGATAGATGTACCATATTGGCGATACGCGGCCGCCGACAACTGGTACGTCTTGACCATCCCACCGTAATAGTCAATGCGGGATTTACCATTGTTGCTGTCAAACCTGCAATTACATACATAGATAGATATATTATACTCTTAGATATTCGCCGCGTGGTCCCGGCATAGAATAGGCCACCCCTTCCTTTCCCGTGGGTGCCGTAAGGATCGACTTAGGGAGGACGAGGGACGGGCAGCAGTGTCCCTCTTAAAACATCTCTAAAGCCTAACTGCGGTTGCCGACCCGCCTGCCAAGCGTGGCAACTACTGGCAAAACCCCCAAGGGGGAGGCTTATGTTCAGCAGTGGACAGTTAAAGAGTGATATGATGATTATTCTATGATGATATGATGATATGATGATGATATGATGATGATGATGATGATAGATACTCTTCGTTTTTTTATACAACTTAGAATGGCAAACAAGCTGACAGCCCACCTGATGAACAATGGAAAGTCTTCATTGTTTCCTACAAAAGATTACAGGCCCTCTAGGCAATCGGCAAGCGAATTCGTCGATGTAATCGACATCGCTAGCGAGTCCGTGAGATAGAATAAGATAGCAACGTCGGATGTTTCTTTCCAAGTCACGGACTCGTTAGCGGTGTCGTTCCATCGACAAATTCGCTTGCTGCTTGTCTAGAGAGCCAGTAGTAAACTTGTTATAGGTATAAACAATTATAAAATGAAAAAAAAAAGATTAAAAAAGAATTATTAATGTCAGTTCACCTCAGTGGTTATTCAGTTAACACAAAAATCTATAGATGAATTGAAAACTATCACCGGATGAAAATCTTTTAAATAAGATAGATAGATAGATACTCTTTATTGTTTCCTCCAAAAGATTACAATAGTAAACTTATTATAAATATAAATAATTACAAGAAATAATCACAATGAGAAAACAATAAGCGGACTTATCGATAAAAGCGATCTCTTGCAGGCAACCTTTGAATGGACAAGAGTAATTATAAACAGTTTGATCGGAGGCACGATGAAAATGTTGTTATTTTAAATACATGTAGAAATGAAATATATATGCAGTAATATAAATATATATACCTACTTTCTATTAAATATATATCCTATTATACATACATATATGTACTTAAATACATACATATATAAATTTAATACACACCTACAAAAATCGTCATAGTCGTAGAATACTGACGGATCTGACAAATATTACATATATAGATCCGTCAGTATTCTAAGACTATGACGATATATATAAAACGAAAAGTTATAAAATTGTTTGATATGTAAATAAATAAGTATGTTAACTAATAAATTACGATGATGGCAGCTTGCTCAAATAAAAGTCCTTAACTTTTGTTTTAAAACATGGCATCCCTTGCTTATTTCGTATAGAATCTAGTAAACCATAGATACATCTTATCTTATCTTATTTTTCGCATACGGGGTCAGCTAAGCCGATGCACGTCGACCCATACGGAGCTTTTGTGCTTCCCCCTGCCTTATACCATCATTTCATAGATCCTATGTGTTACCCTAACGATATCCCGCGGTTTAAGATATCCGTAGTCCCCTGGTTCTGGATAAGCCGTTCCCAGTAGAGTCATAACCATAGATACATACATATATAGATTAATTACCATAAGGGGGAGAAGGAATTGTTAGCAATGGCGATTAGCTATCCCACTGATAACAATATACCCTAACAGATCGACCTCCACGCGGTTCCGACTTAAAACAATCCAAATAGATATATTTTTGAATTCCTCACGATGGGTAAACTGATCTGCTTCATCCTCACCCATCATTCCTCACTCGTGCCTTTTATGGGATAAGTCCACCATTGTACTCATTCTTTTCTTTAGAACGCTATATCCTATAATTTAAGACTTTACTGTACAATAAAGCGGTTTTTTTATGGGTGAAAATGGTATAGTAACCCCGCCTGCGCTAACGGGATACGCTGGCGGAGCACCAGTGAAGGGTGATAGATAAGAATGAAAACAGGTCAGTTAGCCCATCATGATGAATTTATCAGGAATTAACCATGATAGTTTCCAGGGGGAACCGCGAGGAGGTCGATCTGGTTGGGTATATTCCTAGCAATGGGATTCTCAGTCTCCATTACTAACAATCCCTTTCCCCCCACAATAAAGCGTTACAAACAGTTAAACAAACAACAATTTTCTGATATTTTATCTGTCTGTATATTTGATCCAGGGATATGGAAAAAGTACTGCAGCAAAAATTAAATATGGTTTCCATTGTTGTATTAGTGAATTTTAATCTGGAATATGCTTTATTACCTACTAGCTTTTATTTTAGCCGTGACTTCGCGTGATAAGAATAAGTTTTCTAACCAGGATAAAATGTAACACATATAGTACGTGTATAACAAATATAGTAATTGATCGTTAAGGAAAAGGGAGACTGAAACATAGTTCCATCAGGCAGATCAAGGAAGGAGTTGGTGTCGTGTCGTATCATGAGGTGAAGAGACTCGCTGAAAATCGTAGTGAGTGGCAATAGCTCCACCGACAATAGCGCAACTCTTAAATAGGTTAGATAGTTAGGTCGTTAAAGCGTTATAAAGTTACAAACAAACTAGTTTTCACATTTAAAATATTTTACTTTTTACAAGCATCAGCCCTTCTGATGATAAACGGTCATTGTAGCCTATGGACGCCTGCAACACTAGGGGTGTCATGTGCGCGTTGCTAACCCCGAAGAAACTTTAATATACCCTTTTTAATGAGCCCCATACTGTAGCAGAATGTCATCTTAAACATGTATACAATAGGCCAGAGGCTATTTACCCACTCTGGACAAATGTAAATGTGAAAATTAGTTTAGTAAAGATATCTAAATCTATGCATATAAAGTCACGGGCGAAAACTAGTAAATGAACAAAGTATATTCAAATAAGTCACAAGTATGTATACATAATGATTAAGATAATAAAAATACACACATGTTTATGTATTGATCGTTTGAACTGTAGCAAAGGTCATGCCACCCGTGATAAGTCGAGTTTGTTAACATTATAAATAACAGTGATTACAGAAATCAATGCTAAGCCAAGTTAATAATAAAATAACAATTTAATAAAGAGCTAATTCTCGCAGCCTATAAAACAGATAGGCAGTATGCTTGTTTGCCACAAATCAGATGGGCCATATGCTTATTTGCCACAAAACAGATGGACCATATGCTTGTTTGCCACAAAACATATGGACCGTATGCTTGTTTGCCACAAAACCGATGAGAATGTTAGGAGAAACCTGGCAACAGACTTTTAGAGACACAACCCAGAACACCTAAACCTTTGCCTATACAGAAAAGCATAAATAAAGGCCAGGAATTGACAGTAGGACTCTAATTTATACCAAGCAACATATCCAACACTACATCATGGGAAGAAAAAGGGATTGTTAGTAATGAGGAATTACAACCCCATTGTCAGCAATATATTCTATCAGGATGAGTTCCATGTGGTTCTCCCAAAAAACAATTGGGGTTAATCTTGATGAATTCATCACAATAGACCAACTGACCTGCTTCCATCCTCACTGATGGCCCACCTGCATGTATTGATAGCACAGGCAGGATTACCATTCCATTATCATTCATAAAAAAAAATCAACAAACCACTGTATTCATACAATGCAAATTTTATAAAAATATGAGTTTTTTTACTATATTTCTAACCTCTTTAAAACTTTATTTTTAAATACAAATATCCTAATATAAACTATTTAAAATATTTTATTAAACATTTTAGAAGACATACATTTAAAACAATTAAGTATGAAAAGTCTGTTCAATTAGTATTAAGAAAAAATATTTATAAATTGTTAAATACATAATTTGAGTGAATAAAAAATTTCATAAAGTAAGATCTGTTTTGACATCATTGAAATCATAAATAAGATACTAACCAAGCATAGAAAGGCTCGCGAAGCTCAGCATAGGGTATGAAAAGTAACCCCTTCACTGTGTACACGGGGTTCCATTGGGGAGGAGCTTCTGAAAATTTAAATACGACATTACAGTATTTTTTTATTGTATCATAATGTCAATATTATTCAAATTATATTTTTTAACAACTTATTTTTAAAAAGCAGAGTAGGCTCAGTAAATAGGGTATATAGTTTTAAAAACAATAAGGTAAATCTATATAAAAATTTAGGCAGCCGAGATAAGTGGTAGTATTCATTAAAGAAAAACGGTCTCCTTTACTAAACATAAATTCCAGCATTAATTAAGTATTGTTAATTCATACATTTTAATTAGGTAAGTACCCGTTAATTATAAATATTGTTAATGTTAATAAATAAATAAAAACATTCCGATTGTAGGCATGCACAGGATATGATCATTATAAAATTATTTCACTTACTTTTATCCACATAGGCAAAAGATGACCCCAAAAAAAGAAATAACAGGGCAACAGAAAACATTGTAAATAAAGGTTAGTATAGAACCAAAGTAATAACAACAATGACCAAATATTTTTAAATTAAATTTAAATGACTGACATTTCAAACTTAATTCACAATACTGACTTCTGGCATTTGATAAACTGTCATACATGACATATGACAATGTATTGACATTGATAGTGTAGGTACTTTATTGCACCTAAATGAATTACAATTTACAACATAGTGATTAGGTGTATTAATCTGTGGTAATTACGAATTGTGTTTATTCTTTAGAATTTCTCTAATCTGTCTTGTTTGTCTCCGATAATTGTCATATGTTTGATAAGAAATAAATAGAAATAGTTATAAAAAAAAGCAAAACAGACAATTAAAATTAAAGCATCGAATGAAGTCTACAAAATAAAAATGAGTAAGAAAGCTATATCTTTTGGTAAAATCAGTCTCAATCTAAATAAAAGCCTCGACACTAACCAAAACAAAGATGAACCGTCAACCACTGGATTTGGGACTTTCGGGCGCACACCCATACAAGAGCATAAGGAAATTGAAGAAATAGCTGAAGACTTGGAAAACCAGCATGTGCAACAGGTTATGGGCATTAAAAATTTCGGTAAGAAAGCGAAGAACTTCAACATTGAAGAAATGATGGAGCAAGCCAGAAAAACAGCTTCTGAAGTGAATAAGAGGAAACTTGAAACTGAAGACGTCAGTAAACCTGTGGAAACCCCGGAAAAACCTGAGAGTGATGATGAGGACTTGATAGGTCCACCTTTACCACCAGGAATGAGTCCAGATGTACAAGCTACACCAGAGACAAGCAAACAGACAGACTCTGATAAAAATAAAGAAGATAAGAGTGGTGAAGACAGTTATGATGAATTGAGTGGATCTGATGATGAAGAGTTAAGCCTGGAGAAAAGGATACCTTATACTCATGAGGTATCTATATACTTTTTTTATATGTTGCACAGTTAGTAAACATGTTAACATTTCTTTTTAATGAAATTGGTAATCATACTTACTACTATAAAAATTACCAAATGTAAATTTCTGTACAGATGTTCTTTTTTTTATGGATGATAATGGAATGTTAACCCCTCCTGATCTTATAGGCAGGGCACCAGTGAGGGATAACAGATGAGAATGTAAAGGCAGGTCAGTTAGCCCATTGTAATGGATAAACCTGAGATTTAGTGTCATGGTTTCAGAGCCAAGTGGAGGTTGTCCTGAAAGGGTATATTGCTAACAATGGGTTTGGTAGTCTGCATTACTAACAATCCCTTTCCCCCTCTGTACACATGTTTGTATGTTTGTTACTCAATCACACTTAAATGACTGAATTCTTTTGTATGAAATTTGGTACATGGGTAAGTTATCTTCTACTTCTTCCCTTATCCTATCTATATAAATTTTGGGGTATCGTAACTTAAAATATAGGATACTTTATATACTTATTCACTTGAGCAGAGCTACTGGGAATAAAAATAAGATGCATTCATATTTAGAAAGTCAATACTTGGACTGCCAAAGTTTTCTTTATTTGTATTTTTAATTTTTTTTATTTTAATGATTATGGTATTATTTTGACTAATTTTGGATGCTTAATTTTTATTTTATTAAGTTATTGATGTAGGTAAATCAGCTACCCCCTGATGGGCCTAGAATTAATTTTCACAGTCTGCAAACAAAAATATATGCATTTGAGTCATAGGTTTATTGAAAGAGGAAATTGCCATATACAAACATGTATAATACTATATATAACAGTGTTAACCGTTCGTAAAATAAGATCTTACAAAAAATGAAATTAATCGTCCGGCAACGGTTATTAGTGGACTGTATGAAATTTAATACAATGGTGGTAGTTAACATAAGAAACACAAGAGGATAATGAAAGTGGAGACCACTGACCTGAAACTTTGTGGTTAGCAGGATTCGGTTCTGGCTTTAGGCTTCCCAGTACTTCTGGCTCGTTCGAACTTACCCTCAGATCCAGGTTACCTATCCACCGCCTTGAACCGACCAGCAGTGCAATGCCCTCCTCTCAATCAGCCTCTTGGTTATGTGTGATATGATTAAGAAAGCGATACGAAAAGACAAACGATATTCGCGGCAATATATGCACGCGTGCGATAATATTTTTAAACGAGAACGACGACAACGAACGTACGTTCTACCGACACATTCGATAACAACCGACAGACTTTTTTTTTTTTTTTTTATTGTGCAAAAATGTTGCCAGGCGAAATTTATTTAAGCTACAATTCTTAACAAACAGTGATAGCATTTGAAAATGTATAAAAATTTTTTTGGGTGTCCCGGCATAGAATATGCCACTCCTTCCTTTCTCACGGATGTCATAAGAGGTGACTAAGAGAACTTACTAGTTGTAACATGGAGAGGAATGTTCCTCTTTAAACATCACCCAAATTTAACTGTGGTTACCAACCTGCCGTACCTTCTGAACCAATTTTGTTAAAATTTCTATAAGATTTCTTCTGAAAATGTCATATCAGATAAAATCCAAATTGATTTATAAATGATGGAGTTACGAAATAACTAACTTAAAAAATTACAAACAAATTGAGAATAAATTTGAAATTGCATTTTGCAATTTTCTCTCTGTATCATCTCCAAATAGAACTTGACATTAGAAGAGTTTCAAGTTATCATCTCCATTAAATTTAATCATTCATCTTGCCACACATACATGTTTTTTTTTAATTAATGGAATGGTAACCCCGCCTGCGCTAACACTACACGCTGGCAGGACACCAGTGAGGGATGATATGTGAGAATAAAAAGGCAGGTCAGTTTCCCCGTCGTGATAAATTGCTATTGCTAGCAATGGGACTGATAATCCGCATTATTGGCAATCCCTTCCCCCCATACACATTCATCGTTGTTTGTAAATAGAAATTAAAGTATGATAAATAGGAATTAATATTATGTCATTATTAATTTACTTATAGCTCATTTTTTTTATAACTGATAAGTATAAACGATGCGCGACTTTACTTATCCAACTATTAATTATTAGACTGAGCAATACATTCGAATTATTGGAATGATTTTCAAATCATTCGACTACTAATTTCATTTATTATACGTTTCTACTAATACCTAATTAATTAGTAGTTATTGATGTAGGAGTCAGCAGGAACATTAGTAATCTAATGAATGAATAAATTAATGAAATATGGTAAATATACAGATAGATAAAATAATACTAAGTCCACATATTTCGCCACAATTAGGCATGCAAAATTTTAAATACTTAAATATTAAATTAACAATTCTTATAACAAAACAATATGTCAATTACAATTTCGTGTCAATTAATGTACTTCATCTCATTTGATTTTACTACGTATTAGTAGGTCTGTGATTAGTGTCAACAATATTATTATAATATTAATTAATTACTCATTTCACTTTTAATTTCAAAAATTCATTAATTGAATAGAAACAATGGTCAATTAGCCATTTTTGTAATTGAGATTTAAAAGTGCTGGAAAATTTCATTATAAATAATTAGTAAATATATATAGTATATAAATAATTAATAGTCGAATGATTTTCAGATAATGAGCGTCGAATGAATCGCTCAGTTGAATAATTAAGTAGTAATCGAATTAGTAAAGTCGCGCATCACTAGTCTGTGTCTTTGTGGTCTGATTTCTTATAACAAAATGTTCTCTTGCCAGGTGGAAATGCAGCATGGTACAAAAGCAGTGGTTGCACTGGCTGTGGATCCTTCTGGTGCCAGATTAGCAACTGGATCTATTGATTATGATGTCTCGTTCTGGGATTTTGCTGGTGAGTTGAAGTCAAAAAGACTCTTTTTGACTTCAAAAATGGAGAAGGTTCTCAAATCAGTTGTACTTTTTTATATACTTATTAACATTTATTAACCGATTTGAGACATCTTTTTTTTTTTATCTGAAAGGATATACTTTTAGATTATTTCCATAGAAATTTTTTGGATATCTGTTTGTTTAGTTTTTAAATCCAAATAAATGATGTTGTCACAATTGAAGTCTGTTTTCTTTTTATGGAATATAAACTTTTTTTTTATTTTATTTTATTTCATTACAATATTAAAATTAGAACTTTATGTGTTTAACAAATTAAATTACTAAATTTATAGAGGACTAACAAGCCGCTAGTATATTATAATTTATAGTCTATATTTCTTGTTGAGTACGTAGCTTCTACAGATGAAAAATTTTTTTAAATCACTTGAATAGTTTTGCTTATTATTATGTATATTATTTAATAGGGAGACCTATGTTCAGCGGTGGACAGTTGACAGCTGGTATCGAGTTCAATATGTACCATCAAGTCATTATCAACAACAATCTTTTATTTTATTTTCTCAGGTATGGACTCGTCTCTCCGCTCCTTCCGCACCCTGCAACCATGCGAGAACCATCCAATAAAAGCGCTACAGTACTCTGCCACCGGGGACTCCATCCTGGTGGTGAGCGGTTCAGCTCAAGCAAAAGTTCTGGATCGGGACGGATTCGAAGTGCTCGAGTGTGTCAAAGGAGACCAGTACATAACGGATATGGCAAGGTATTTCATCTTCATCTACACTAATATTATAAAGAGGAAAGATTTGTATTTTTATGTGTATGTTTGTAATGAATAAACTCAAAAACTACTTTGCCGATTTCAAAAATTCTTTCACCATTAGAAAGCTACATTCACCCTGAGTAACATATTTATTGCTAGAAAAGATTAGGGATCCTTACTAAAAAAATATTTAGTAGTGGATCGCCTTTATAATTGAGAAATATGAAAAATAAATGTTGGCGATTCTCAGACCTACCAAATATGCACACAAAATTTCATAAAAATCGGTAAAGCCGTTTCGGAGGAGTTTGGTAACAAACACCGTGACACGAGAATTTTATATATAAGATGTCATTGTTGGGGCTTTCACTAAACCAAACCTAAAACCCTTAGTGGAGAGGCCTATGTTCAGCAGTGGACAGTTGACGGCTGATGTTATGATGATGAAATCCAACCTGCCTTTCTAGCCACGAGTACGCGTACCATGCACGTATGTCGATATTATATATGTTACTCATTCATTTTCATTTAAGAGTTTCCTCTTATTGGTGCAACTAATTCATGCATCTTCCTCCAGCCAGCTCTATCCCAGGCCATATCCTTTATCTCCCTATACGAGATGACACCTAGTGTTTCCTTTATCTGTCCCATGTAGTTAATCCTCGGTCTTCCTCTTCCCCTTTTGCCCTCTATCTTTCCATCTATTATGCTCTTAAAAAAATCGTCAAGTCTGTATAAGGTGACGCAGCATTTTGCCTCTTCTATTCTTTATTATTTTAATCAATGTTCTCTTCTCGTTTACTTATATGTTACTATAACTATCAAATTCAAATATTAGATTTAGTTATAAGTTTACTTAAATACGCTACAAAATATTTATTTATTCATTTAAATTGTGATACATAGGTAACAAAGGATGGTAAAACAAGATAAGTCCTCTATGATCAACCCCATATATCGAGGTATACAAATTTGCAATTATATATGAAAAACAAATTATATAAAAAAAAACAACAACAATGTCACATTTATAGTAAAAAATTATAATATTATGGAAATTTATTACATTTATCTTCAAGGAAATCGTCAATTGAATAGTATGTTCTGTTTACTAGGGATTCATACAGTTTAGTTTTAAATTTGTTTATGTCATCTATATCTGTGAGGGATTTGGGTAATTTATTATATATTCTAAGTGCCATCCCTAAGACACTTTTAGTGAATAATGTCGTAACTATGTGGTTTTGAAATGACTTTGAAATGTTCCGGCCGTATAGTTGTCAAAAGACCTTATTTTTACTCTTAGCTTATTATATACAACTCGTTGTTTACAGAACAAAAGGTCACACCGCCTCACTGAACAGCGGTTGCTGGCACCCACACATCCGGGAAGAATTCATGACATGCTCCCAAGATGGCACACTCCGATTGTGGCTTACAGAAAACCCGAAGCAACATAAAGCAGTCATCAAACCGCGCCAGCAAGGCGGTCTCAAGACTAGTCCGACCACTTGCGTCTTCTCGCGGGATGGCAACACTGTAGCATGCGGCTGCTACGACGGCTCCATACAAATGTGGGACCACAGAAGGAACTTTGTCAATACAACATTACTACTCAGAGATGCGCATCAAAAACAGTCGGAAATCTCGAGTATAGCGTACTCTTACTTAGGATCGTATTTGGCCACTAGAGGTAATGACGACACATTAAAGTTATGGGATCTGAGAAATTTCAAGAAACCATTAAAGGTGTTTGACAACTTGTTTTCGAGATACGAACAGACCGACTGCTCTTTCAGTCCAGATGACACCATGGTGTTCACCGGAGAGTCGTTGCAGAAGGGGCAAGACGCTGGAAGGTTATTGTTCTACAATACAAAGACATACGAAGAAGTTATGCATATAGATGTAACCAAGTCGCACGTGATAAAAAGCATATGGCACCCGAAATTGAACCAAATATTCGTTGGATGCGGCAACGGAGTAGTCAAGTGTTATTACGATCAGAAACGAAGCTTGAGAGGTGCGAAACTGTGTGTGGTTAAAGTTCACAGGAAGAAACATTCAGTTGAAGTCGTTAGCTCTCAGCAGATCATAACTCCTCACGCCTTACCACTCTTCAGGCAGGAAAAGTTACGTACAAGCAAGAAAAAGATGGAGAAAGACCGGTTGGACCCTGTCAAGTCTAGACGGCCAGATTTACCCATTACGTCCGGTCAGGGTGGTAGAGTTGCTGCTTCTGGGAGCACGCTGAGCTCTTTCGTTATTAGGAATTTAGGGTTAAGTAAAAGGGTCGACGACGAACAAGACCCAAGGGAGGCCATTTTGAAATATGCAAAGGAGGCAGAGGAAAATCCCTTCTGGGTTGCGCCGGCGTATAAGAAAACACAACCACAAACTATATTCCAGTATAATGAGGAAGGTGAGGACGGCCCGTCAGACGCTAAGAAGCAAAAGCAGACGTAGAATTATTTAAATAAATTTATTTATATATTAATTTTGCTTATCATTCATACTAGTTTTAAATGTTAACAACATAAGAATTGGATTACTCCCCTAATACATTCACTTCACAAAAAAATAGCGGCATGTGGTCCCGGCATAGATAGTGGCCATCAGTTTCTTTCCCGTGGGTGTTGTAAGAAGCGACTAAGAGAATCTAATGCAACTAATTGCAGTTGCCAACCCGCCTACCAAGCATCCCAACAACTAGCAAAACTCCCCAATAGGACACCCACGAGAAAAGATGGGGTGATCCATTCTAGAATGGGACCACGCGGCAAGCAACATTGGCGATAACTAGGTGTAAATAAAATACAAGAATTATTTAAATATTTTGGGATTTTTATCTTACAATTATAATACTACAGTCTACAGATAATAAAACGACTCATCACGCACGCGCCGCTACACTCTCGTTATCAGAATCTTGTTTTGTCACGAATTTGCTGATGGGCAACCTTGCTGGTATCTATATTAAAAAAAAAGTTTTTAATTACCAACGAGTTTAAATATTTACAACTATTAATATTGATTTATAAAGATACTTTAATAACATTTACAGTTCTATATTTAGGATTTATTAGAAATTTATTAATAATATATGCTTGTCTATGAAATGAGAAAAATAGCAACCGATGGTACACCTTTCGTCCTCTTTTTACTAATTATATTTGCATAAGAAGAAAGGAGACAACTATGTGATTTACAGTTTTTATTTTATCATTCTTTCTGGGCAATTTCTTGTTCTCAAGGACGGAACAGATTGATCAATCAGTCCATCCATCATACTGACAATCTATCCTTAATACTCACTGACGTTATTATTATTTTTCTACAATTATCTCTTATTTCTTGAAACGGGTCATCCAATGGACGTTTAACCCTAAATATTATATAATCATACAACCCAAACTTACTTGGATAGTTTCTAAAAACTTTAATATTATGTATACATAAACCTTAGATGGTTTGGCCATTTGGAGAGGTCGGATGAAAGAAGAATTACGATAGAGATTTATCGAGCAAGAATGAATGGAGATGTCGATAGGGGCCACCATAGACGGATGTACGTCGACCAAATAGGTGATGTGCTGAAGAAGGAACAAATTAAAAGTACCCGTAACCGGTGAGCGTGAAGGAAAGATTGATGAATGTGGAAAAAGCTAGAGGTTTGTTAGGATCGAAGCATTTGACGTTCCATTGTTTCTGCTTACCCTAATGGGAGACAGGCATGAAAGATATGTATGTATGTATAAACCTTAGATTGTATAGATTACTTTAGATTAAGGTAAATAGATAACGGTCGTAACTTAAAATATTATTAGGATTATATAATCCCTTATAATGTTTAACTTTATTTATATATTTAATTATATTATTTATTTATTTATTAAGAATAATGCATAGGTAAAGAATAAGAATGCGGTAGATGGACTTTCATGATTTTTCCATATTGCTTTAAACAACAGCAAAATTTAGGTTATAAAGCTAAGATTGATAATCGGTAATGACAATAAAAGTAACGGTCATTTTGATTAATTCCGACATCGAATCCATATTTGAAATGTTCAAATCTCGATTTTGAAAGCAATCTGTCAAATAACAAAAAGAAATTGATACTTGCAACACTAACACATGGCGCGAATTCTTTAAAAATAAAGTTAATTATAGTCATATTTATGTTTAAAATTGAAGATTCTTTTAATAAAAATGCTGTTTTCCAAACTTTGTTTTTGGCGGATGCACTTTGTGCCGTGCCATAAGAAAGGAAAAAAAAAGAAGATATTTACCGATTATAAGTGATTGTTTTTTTAGTTCTATATTGTCAACAAGTAGTTTTCTTTACTTGTGTACAAAGACATTTCTTCTGATGAATTTAATTATAAGCATTTTTGAATAGTTAAAATTATCTACAGGTATTAAATACAAATATAATTCTTTTTTTTTTTATTTAAACTTTTAATTTTGTTTTGAGATTTGTCTCTCAGAAGTTCTGATGAAATCCATCTTCGCTCGGCGCCTTGCTGTTTTCGAGCTGTTCGAGAACCATTTAAAAATAATAGGTACAGTATTAGATAAATTTTTTTAGCCCTTTGGTAGTTATACGCGTCAGATAAATCTAAACTGTAACTAAATAATGTCTGTAAACAGATAATAATTTGAGGGAATTCAATAAGAGCTATAGAAGAGCATTGTACGCGCTCTTCATAATTATATTCCTGAAGATTTACTAAAAATACTACTTAAAATCTTCTTATTTAGTCCCCATTGCTATCAATATACCCTATCTGGCCGACCTCCACGCAGTTCCCCTGGAAACCATCGTGACTTATTATATATCGTTGAATTCGCCACGATGAGCTAGCCAGCTATATATATATATATATATATATATATATATATATATATATATATATATATATATATATATATATATATCTTAGCATTTTTGCTTTTTGCTTTCCTTGACTGTTAATAGAATCTAGCTATTTTTAAGTTAATATGTAATATAAAGAGCCTTTTAAGAGTCAAATACCTTTAATGATTATCCTGAATATACTGAAATAAATGTTTCCAGTGAAAATAGTTTCTTTTTAAAAACCTACCTAAACTAATCTGTATTGGCTCAATTTGTTTGGTGTGAGGTGACTAGGTTTCCGAGTGAATTAAAACAAATGTATATATCTTAATAATTTATTAAGTAATTTAATAACTAAATAACAGGTGTATTGATTTTACACATTTCCAATGTAAAAGTTACTTTTAAACATGAACTTATATCAATGTAATTAAATGAAACAGTCTTTGAAGAATTCTAGACCAGAGCTGTCCAAACTGTGGCCCGCGGACTACATGCGGCCCCCCAATTTTTTCTAGTTACTACCGATATTGATGTTTATATTGACAAAATTGTAAAATTAATGAAAAAGGAATAGGCCCTAGATCCTATCTAGTTTGGACAGCTCTGTTCTAGATTAATACAATATGACAAACGAACCATTTGTTATAAAAACTAGCTAAACTATTACACTATTTATACATGACCAAAAACATCACGATAGTTGAATAAAAAAATACATTGAATGTAACACAGGTTGTCTATGGCACCGCTCTATAGCGGTCGTGGACTACAAACTATATCTTCTCCTGGATGAAGGGATGCGCGAGACAGTGGTCTACGGAGGCGCGCTTGGCAGGGTCGAGCGTCAGCATTCGCTCGAGCAAGTCTCCGAGTTGCGTTATCTTCTTGGCCTCCTGCTGGGGGAGACGATCGTGCGGCGGGGCCAGCTCCGATTGTAAGTGTCTCGTCGCCTTTATATTTGACATCACCACCACTTTCTCCTGCGAAGGGAAAGATAAACGCGGTTATAAAAAATAGTAGACATGAAACCTCACGACATTCCAATTGAATAAACTTATCAAAAGCATTTTTACATAACTGATCTTACTTTATCCTCCCTCACCTATGACTGGTTCACTTTCATCCATCAGAAACCAAATCTATATTATAACAAGTAAATATACTACTTACCCGTTCGGTCACTTTGTCCAGCTCACGATACAAAAAGTTGCAATTTGCATCAAAGTGTTGCCCCTTGAAGTGTCCCCTCTTTATGATTTTATTTGGTATCTTTCCTTTCAGGTCCATGAAACATTTTAGCATCTCATTGTTGGATTTCCCACTGAACATTATTTTGCCGGTGGACAGTTCGTATACAGTGCACGCCGTGGACCACATGTCTATGCCGTGATCGTAGGCGGAGCCGAGGATGATCTCTGGCGCCCGGTAGAATCTCGAGACCAGGTATGGTGTGATTTCGTTTTCCGTTACACACGACGCGGAACCGAAGTCGCATAGTTTTAGCGTTAGCTTACTATCATCAACGAGTATATTGTCCGGTTTGATGTCTGTGAACAAAAAAAATCAATAATTGCATTATAACATAATATAATAAGGGGAAAAGAGCGTTATAAGCGTTATCGGAAATAAATTATAATTTCATCGTTGAAAAGTTAATAATTCAAGTATGATAACTTACCGGCGTGTAAAATGCCAGTTTTCTTCAACAGTTCGAGCGCCGACAACATTTGCATCGTATAACATCTGACCGCCTTGATGTGTATTCCGCTGTTCTTGCCGTACTTCTTCAGCACCTCCCTGAGGTTCATGGACAGAGGCTCCATCACCATGCACAAGTGCTGCTTGTGGAAGAAATGCCGGGACAGGCGCAAACAGTGGAACTTGTCGTGGGGGTCGGCGTCGTTCAAACGCTTCAGAATTTCTATCTCACGGAGGCCGGTTTTGTGCCTGCGGATGGAATGGATCGTTTAATAAGTCGAATTATATACAAGTGGTGGGTGGTGGAAATGAATGTAAACATTAACTATTTCACGATGTCTGAACATGTTAAATATTTAGTCTGTCTGTCTGTCTACCAAATAAAAGTAAAAATTGCGAAACTCTGAAAGTAGTTGAGAAAGTATACTTACATCATGGCATTGTTCCTGATGATCTTGACGGCCACATCGCAGTTGGCGCGTTGGTCCCGCGCCCGCACCACGTTAGAGAACACCCCTTGGCCGGTGTAACCGTACACATTGTACCGCTCGTCCAGACTCTCGCCGATTCGCACCCTGTACATAAAACATAGTATATTAATGCCACACTCTGACTATATATCATGGTTCGTTCTCGGTCCTGTCTCGTTATGTCTAGCTGTTATCAAGGGAATATTCATGTATTTGTTATAATTCATTAAATATATGGCAAATTGTGTGTCAAAAGTTATTTTCTATTGCACTAATAGAACAAAAATCTTACATACCTGTAGTACCCTTCGGCATCATCCCAATTGTCTATCAATGAAGGGTTCTCTAATGCATTGTCACTTCTTGGTTTTCCAGCTGTAGACGTCTGTAATTACAATGAAAGCTTTAATCCAACTTCCTTTCAACTAAAAAAAAAAGGATTTTTTAAATCAGTTTAGAAATGAC